GCTTCATATCAAGAATTTGGCAGGAAGAAGAGAAATGCCAAATAAAAAGGGGTACTGCGCTCAATTCACATGAGAGGATCTAAACTGGAATGCTCAAATTACAAGGGAATCTTCCTAATTAATGTAACCTACAAAATCATCAACAAATTAATAGCAAGAAAACTGAAAAGGTTATTCTAGGTGACTATCAATTTGAATTCAGACAGAATAGACCCACCACAGATCATATTTCGACCACCAGATGTCTCCAGAAGAAATGCTAAGAAACATCCCCATACACCAACTATATGTGGACTACACAACAGCTTAGACAGGAAATATCTGCAAAGTGCACTATAGAAACTTGGAGTTTCTAACTATAGAAACTTGGAGTTTCTAACAAACTTACCTGGTTTATACATGACGATGGCTACCTCCAAAAAAGAATCAAAGTACAGGAAGAGTACTTGAGGAACTTTCATATTAATCAGGGCCACTGAGTCAAGGACACTCACTGGCATGTATCCTATTTAACATCCCTTTAGAAAGCGTTATGAGAAACATGCATGTGCGCATCAAATGAACTATCACAAACAACTTCCAGAGAAACATACATGTGAGCACAGGATGAACTATCACAAACAACGTATCAGAATCTCAACCATCAGGACACCAACCAACTTTAAAAAACCCAACCAGTGCAGTACCTGGCATATGCAGACAACATAGCTTTACCGGGGAGACACAGCATTGATATAATTTAAGCATTCCATGAATTAGAAGAGTTACCTCTAAAGGTAAATGAAGCGAATACAAAGTGTATGTTAGTCACGTACCAGACACACAGGTGAGAAAATCAAAGTAAACAAGCACACCAGAGAGAGAGAGAGTGAGTGAGCGAGAGAGACAGATGAAATAATGACAGAGATGAAAGAAAGGATAAAAGCAGGCCACTCTTCTTATTTCGGCCTACACGAGCTAAAACTAGGAAGCTGAAATCTCTCAAAGAAAACTACGATGGCCCTATACACAACTTTACTGGTTCAATACCTGGAAAATCCTCCGGAAAAATATACAGTCCAGTGTTAGATAATGATGGATGGGTATATATATCCCCTGGGGCTCTGGTTGACAAGTTTGTAGTGGCTTGCTGGCTAAAGAGGTGCTGCCCCCTAGCGCTAGACTGGGACCAAAACCACCATTGACCATCGACAAAGAGTGTGCATAGTATCTGCCTAAAATGGAAGCACTTAAAGGGCTACCAGCTGTGGAAAATCTACGTCAGAAACAGGGTAGGGAGCATGATTACATGTTGCCCTTTAAGGATAAGAGGCATGAGGTGGATAGTGGCAATTCATGCCAATGGTTCTATTTAGATAGAAGTTAAGGTAGTTGTACCTAGGCAACCGTTTCGTCCCAGCTGCTTTGTAAATTAGTTTCAAGGTAGAAACCCACTGTAGAAATCTGTATCTGACGGCGTGGGACGTTCCCACGGATGGGCAGAGTAAGATTTTAGGATGTAAATACACCATCCCGACTCCTGATGCTGTGAGAGAAGTGTCACCAGCCTACAGAATGTCCTTGTGCTGGGGTGACCTCCACTGGTAGTCAATGGAGTGAGTGCGGGCTGGGGCTGCCCTGGCAAAGCGAAATCCCCAACGTTCAGCTACCCGGCCCAATAACTCAGGCTTGGGGAGTGAGGGTGTGTGTGCTTTGGGGAGGGCATAAAGAGCTAATGTACTAGCTCGACAGCCCGCTGATGCAATTTCCCAATGAACATTTTCAGTACCGGAACCATCCGTAGTTACTGCAATTTAAATGTGCAGGCTGCTTTGGGCAAGAAACCTTGAGAGGATATTAGATTGTAGAGCAGCAAAAGTGATCTACAGACAGAAGCCTAGGGGTTAACGGCTCATCCGTCGACGAAGACTGATATGGATTGAGTTGTAAAGGACTAAAATCACCTGGAAGTGTAAAGTCATGGATCAGCTTAAAAGGGAGGATGTTGTAGAGCAGACCAGGCCCCTATGATGGGCTGTAGCACCTATGATGATGATGTCTGAATGGAAGGATGTGGTGAAACAGGCCAGGGCCCTACTAATGATCAGCATTAACAAATTGATCTGTTTATCTATCTCTATTTCTCCCATTTAGCGGCATACTTATTATTATAATTATTTAATTTGAATTTTTGGATGATGTTTAAGAATGATCAACACATAATTAAGTCTAGACATGGCTATAAATCAAAAATCAGCATGTACTGTAGATCCCTATTCAAAGGCCTATTTACACAAAAAATATTTCAATGGTATAAGTGGGCCTTTGAGTCGGTCACAGGAGGTTTTCACCAGGTACATTGATTCTATTATAGAAAACAATAAGATTGTGTCTGTGTGTGAGCATATGACTGATTCTGTTCAGTGTGGTTACGGTATATATATGTAGAAAAGTGAAGTGAGTCGCTGTTATACATAATACTGAATGTTTAATAGTTTTAAGTCTTTTTAATAAGCAATTATTTTTAAGGTTTCGATGAAAACCTTTAAAATAATTTCCCAGCCAAAACTGAAAGAGTACACTAATAAGCAGATTACACACTTTTCAGGGTTTTCCTGGCCAAAACTAAGATTGTGGTTGGCTTATGATCCATTGGGAATAAATTTCCAAGATCCCAATAATGGCAAGTTACCTCAAGATTATTACCCAGTGTGATAAATCAAGCATCAAGGTAAAATGTGAAAAAATAAAACCAAAAATATTTTTTTTTAAATTAGTGGCATAGGTAATGAAAAATAAATAGAATAAAAAGGACTGGATTTACCTGAAGTAAAATGTTGACCAGTCATTGTCCTGGCATGTCATGATTCCTCCTGCACATTCATCATAAGAGCAGCTGTGAATTCTGGCAGTGATGGGGGTCTTCAAGTGATCTCTGTGAAAACAACAACTTTAACCTGGAAGTAAAATAATACATTAATTAGTAGAAGACAGAAACTTTATTATATTAGAGCGCAAGCTTGCATTAATATGAAGACAATATCCTATGAACAATTTTAACCTGAAAGTTACCATCATAAAAAGTACCAAAAAAATTAATCACACACTTGGTGTAATCATTGCTTTTACACCAGCCATGTTTACATGGGTGTTTCGACAAAAAATTCCTGGTTCTCTAAGGGAAAGTTGAATAGCTTTGTTTATTTAATCTATTAAATAGTTAAAGTCCAACCACTATTGGAATTAGGGAGGTGGTGTTAAATGAACAAAAGAAAACCTTCAAAATGGTCACGTCAAGCTCAGTGCAAGATTTTAACTACAACTGCATTACAGTAGTGAATCTTTAAAAATTTAAATAAGATTTTTTTGTCATAGATCAATGGTAATATAATTCTAACCTGCAAGATGTAACTCTTGATTATTACTACTATGATTTTAACCCAAAAAATATATGCTGTAGCGACTGATGAATCTAAATATAAGAAGCAATCCATCTAAATAGCTCTTTTGAATTTTTTAATAATTTCTTTTACAGCAAAAATGCACTCAATATGTCAGAAGGAAATTTAGATTTTTTAGGAATTTTTATCTAATTTTAACTAAATTAGGAATGTGCAAGACTTTACCCTAACCTAATCAGTGAAACTAACCATTCCAATACAGTCTTTTGATATTTTTTACATGCACTTGCAGGATTTATCTTTATATAAAGTGCATTCAAAGGATCAAGATACTAATATTTATTATTGGAAGGGGGATTAGGATGATGCTACTAGTACTAGGTGTTAAGAGAAAATGTAAAGATATGTGTTTATTATGGCATGTAATTGACTAGGACAGAGGCTCTCAGACTGTGTCCTGCTGCAACCTGAAGTGTTAGAAAATTAATGGACTTAATGCAAGCCATTTATAATTAAGTTGGTATTTTTCACTAGTTCTCCAACCTACTTGGTACTCTGTTCTTATTAAAGTTGTTCTTATTAAAGTAGCAGTTGGTTTTGTGCAGCGCCTATGCTGTATCAATTAAATATTGTTTTGATAGAGTCAAGTGAAGTTAATGAGTAATGAGGTATGTCTTCTTGTATAAGTATAAGGTTTCAAAAATCGATTAGATTGTTTAAAAAGTGCTATTTTACAGTGCACAAAGAATGTGGCTTATTAGGGCAAAATTGAAAAGACGTGGGTGCTGAATTTTTTCTTGGCCGACGCTCACGTGGTAGATTATCTATAGAACTATATTTAAAATAGAATTTAAAAATACAATAAAATTATAAACATAAACGTATTCTTACTTGCTTTTAGATGAAAAACACATTGTTCTTCGTGTTTCTTTAAGGCTACCGGTTCATGACAGTCTTCAAAATATGGCACATGTCTCGATTGATAGTAATGGCCATGGCTCTAAGATGGCAAATCATCAGGAAGTCAGGAAGTATTCGTCATAACCGTCACGTGACCAACCGAATATTATTTGGAATGCCGTAAAAGGGGGGGGGGGTAGGGGTTGGTGTAGGTCGTACTTTTTACCGTCAAAGGTTTTTAAAGGTGACCAGGAACATGCTCGCTTTTGTGTTCATCCTTTGGCCATAATGTTTAAATTATTATTTTAAATTGATTCAATAATAAATGAAACCGTGTATTTAATTAATAAAATATCTTGTTTTTTGTTTGTTAAATTCAGCACTAAATTGAACAAATCTTCATTATTAGTTTGCTATATGTTAAAAATAATATTAAGCCAATGCCATGTAACATAATGACAATGAATTGTCTATAGTGATTTTCTTGATTTAAATTGCGATGAATCTGACATTAAATAAAAATAAAAGGCTAAATTGGCATATATAAAGTATAATCTCAAAGCTAATTATCCTGATTTCTATTTAAACATTATTTTCTATATGAAATTTTATGTAAATGAAATATTTAAATTTACTTAAAGTAACTTTTTTATGTAGTGTCTTTGGATTGCTTGTCTGTTATGAAAGAAAAAATGTGCGTTTGATTTGGAAACCAAACGTTTTTTACAAAATGTTAAGAGATAAACCACGCTAGATTATTTCTGACGTCATTAATTCTTAATAACGTCACCTCTAACAACACACAAAAAGGCAGACATCGTGAGTTTGTAGTTTCTAAACTTAAAACTTACGTATCTTCTGTGTGACAAATCATTTTAATTAGCTGTTTACATAAGGTAAATACGGTAGGGCCTATATTCTTAGTAACTATTATATTTATAAAATAGTCCCCATTTATTTACACTTAGGTATTGTTTAATTCAGTACAAGTTAGACGTTTTTGAAATAAACATAGTATAGTATGAGTGATTCAGATCTGATTAGAGATTAGTGCTGAACCTGAACTGTCACTTTACTGTAGTGTAGGCCTACTCTGTATACTTTGAATGAACTCACAACTGCCCCACTCCACTCGGTGAGTAGGCCTATAATATCATCAGGGCCCAGTGAACTTTTTCAGTGAGTTAAAATATGATCATTCATTGATGCACATGGAAATTTGATAATTTAATTATCATTCATTATTCATTGATGCACATGGCATGGAAATTTGATAATTTAATGATCATTCTTTAATGCCATGCACGTGGATTATTATTTTTATTAAGACAATTTTGTTCATTTTTATCCTACATTTACATGACTCATAAAAATAGCACAGCACAGTGCAGAAGAGCATTCCTCATCAACTGCAATATTAGAGACTCGGGGGGACTGAGTGGAATGCTCACTATATAATTTAGGTCAAGACTCTTAAAGAACTTAAAGAGACTTAGTGACTTTTAAAACCAAGCCCTTTCAGATGAAATAAATAATAAATATGTTGGGCATCCTTAATCTGGGCTAAATAATGCTAATGTTAAAGTCATTTTCAGAATGTTTGAGACATTACAGAACATTTTATATAACCAAACTTGGTCCATCTTGGGAAATAATTAGAAACAGCTACCCTTGAATTTTTACAATAGTTTACCCTGAAAAAGAAAAAAGACAACCTCAAAACTTCACAGCCCAGATTTTTAAAAAAAAAGTAATATTTAAATGGATATTAATTTATAGTTTTATATTAATCCTCATCTAGGAGTTCATCAACCATGGATAGCCGCGTGAATATAACTCCTGAGGAGTACAAGGCCATGGGTGACCATGAAAAGGATGGAGCTACCTCAGGGTCCCAAGAGCAGGAGTTTGTGCAAGACATTGTGAAAAATAATCGTGTTGTGGTTTTCAGCAAAACACACTGCCCTCACTGTGATGACTCAAAGATGCTCTTGAACAACATGGGAGTTGACTATAAAACGGTGGAATTGGATCAGTTAAAGGAGGGAAGTCAAGTCCAGAATGTGTTGGGCACAATCACAGATGCCAAAACTGTAAGTTTCAAGTAGCTGTAATCAATCTACTTGATTTGAGCTCAGTTTTTTTTGGGGGGGTAATATTATTTTTCTCCAGTTCTATACTATACAAAAACACACAGTTCTATTGTTATAAAGACCTGTGATGTAGAATTGGTTTAGTTAATTAAATCTTAGTTCAAACATTAGACTTAACATTTCCTCAAATAAAAAAAACATTAATTTTATTGAAAAATATCAGTCTTAAAATATGCAGAACATTTAATATCCATTTTCCAAATAGCCAAGCCTAGTTATGAAGTTTGGTGATTTCTTTGTAAACCATATTGAGCCTTCTCATAACTGAAATGTCACTTTTTATATCACCTGTCTGCTCTTGATTTGGAATACTGTGTATGCTTCAAGTTAGGACCATTCTAAAACTATTTGGTAATAAATAATGAGTTAGGTCAGTGTTAGATATAATCCAAACTCATTAGTTGTATGCACTATGTATTTTGATTTTTTGGTGTCATAATGAAACGGTGATTGGCTATTTTGAAATAAATGAAAGTCAAAGTAAAAAGAAATTTCTATTTCTTTTTTTTTTCTTAGGTTCCTCGGATATTCATTGATGGCCAGTGTGTGGGTGGAAACAGTGATTTGAAAAATCTCAACAAAACAGGTGCACTCAAAACACTACTAAATAATTAGTGCATTGGTTTACTGACAGAAGTTTACCATGATTCCCTGAAAACTAAAGGATACCTCATAGAGCTCACAATAGTGTTTTATTCACCAAAAAAAAAATTATATTCTTTATGACATTCATCTATTACGCATTAAAACTTATTAAAGTACACAACTATAGGAACACAACTATAGGAACTATTTAACAATAACCTGCACCAAGAGTAATGACACTTTATTGCACAGTTTTAAGTAAGCAACTTAAGAAGTGTACATTGGGCCAATATAATTGATACAAAATATTAGGGTAATCTCAAGGAAACTGCCAGCTTAAACAGTGGCATCCAGCAGAAAAGTACAACAGCCATTCTATGTAAGCTGTTAAAAAAACAATAAACGAGCAGATTTGACAAGCTTATATGTTTATTGTTTTTTATTTGTTGATCCTTATGATAGAGGCTTGTTTATAAGTTTGTGGTCCTCATAAAACATTAAAACTATTAACGTTTCCATTGTTTTTGTTAACTGATAAATGCGCATCAACTGACTTCAATGATGAACAACAAATATATATTCTTTCTAAAAGAAGACCAATTCCATATTAATAATAATCACATCTTAAATTCACATTTTAATAAGTCAATAATAATGATGAAACCTTATACAAGTGTGATTTCCTACTAGCTTATTTCCTCAGAATTTAATACAGAAAAAGTTAAATAATTATTACTTATTGTATACCAGCTTCTTTGTATTTGAAGTTATGAATGCAAATAGTAAATAAAGCAGAACACAAAAAATCCCTGAACAGCAATTTCTCTTCATTTTATTTTTATGCATTCAAATTTTGAACAATTCAAGGTAACATACAGCGTGAATTTGAGAAATTAGTAGCTGGGCAACTCAAACATTTTAAATTAAAAAAAACACATGATACAGTCCAGCAAAACTGTAGAAGGAAATTTAAAATAATATAAATTAAAAAAAAATTAGTTGTTGAAGAAATAATACTATTATTTAGTCCATCATGAAATTAATACAAATTGTACTATGCTGATAAAAGTTTGAGCATAACTAAAAATGCTTTTGAGATCTGCAGTCTTGTTTTAAACATGGCAAATGCTACGCAGAATACAGTAATACTAGTGCTAAAGTAAGATGCAATTTTAAAATAAAGAAAAATAAATTATGAGCAAATACTGAGATTTGAAGCCAGTTGTTCAAATCAAAAAGATAACTGCATTTGAGATGCACCTGATAAATGAAACATGTGAAAATTCAATTGAACTTCAGTTTTTTAATCATGCTTACTTAAACTAAATTGAAGGTGGAAAATAAAATAAAATAGACTTAAATATGAAGAGCTGATTTTCAAATGATGTATATCCATTTTTGGGGTTTTGAGATTATTTAACTTTTTACAAAAAATTAATACTGCGTTTAGAGAATTAAATTTTTAGACAAGAATAAAATAGGAATATAATGGTTTTGTAAATAAACTTTACCATGTCCTAAAGGAACCTGGTCTGCTCTACAAAAAGGTAAGGTTTTTCGGGTTCCTTTTAAAAACGGTGGATATCGTGGTTTGAAAAAAAGCTCTTCATATGTAACCTTTATTTCTTCAGGCGGTAGCTGAGCTTTCATAATTTATTTTGTGTACTACCCAGAACTTAAAAAACAAAACAAATTCAAACAAGATAAAATATGCAAATAATTATGTTCACAAGTATAATCTTACTTGCTGCAACACTGATTGTTTATTAGATATTCTTAAGCTCACATATTATTTAAACTTATTTCTTGTTTTTACCCTGAAAAAAAAAAGGAATGTAAAATGAAAACATTTTAACATGGTTCCTTTCTGTCCTTGTTAAATAATATCAACAGATTCCATGCTTTCTTGATGCTAAAGTTATTGTCTCAAGTAGGCTATGCAATAAAGAGAAATAGTCATTCATTAAATTGCTTCGCTTATTCAATGAAAATAATAAATGTAAAAATTTTGCTAAACAGTGGTCAAGTAAATATATTATAATTATAAGAAAAGCAAAATAAATTGTGAAACATGATAAATTTCTTTTTTATACAGATCTTATACTTTTAACATGGCTAATAAATTTAAAAACAACAACTTTTTTTTGTGTAGAAATATTAATTATTCAATAGTGGTGCTTCATTTTAAATAAAGAAGTCATTTTAAGAATTGTTTCTCATGCCTAGCAAAATATACCTTTATGTAATATGTAAATCAATGTGGTGTCAGCAGATGAAGGCGAAAGCCATAGCTCAGTGTTTAGCAGTGACAAATTTATGTTCAAATTTTCAATGCCAGACTTTTTTGAGTATACATATTTCTATTTTTATAAATATTAAGTCTAAAAAAAAGGCACCTAATTATTTAAAGCACTTCATGAGACAACCTAGTGAACATTCCCTGATGCAAAAATCACAGAAAAATCTGTGATTTTTGTCAGAAGGAAGACATTTTCTATTATAAAATTGTAACACCTCTTACTGTCAGACAAGAAAATCTGTAATATATTTGTTACTTTCATCATGAGCTTTTCACTAAGACAAAGGTGGCTAGAAACTTTCTAACTAAATTTGATAAGTAACTTTCAGTGACAGTTTCTTGATTGTGCTAAAATCAATTTGGTGAGCATTATGAAGAGTGTGAAACTTCAGAAAAAAATTACAAATTAATTATTAATAAAAGTAATTCACCTATTTATGCTCATGGCTTTAACTCTTTTTTATAAATAACTTTTTAAAGTACAAACTAAATGAAATGGACCAAATTTAATGCTTTAGAATTCAAAATTTATCAAATAGGGTAAACGTTTATTTACAATTCATGCAGGGAAATGACATTGTCTCAGGCAAAAAGCCATATCTTCATGCAACATGACACCCAATACACTGGTTTCTAGACCCTTTCTTATAGTTCTAGATCAACAATCGTCCCTTAAAAACAATATAAAAAAAGAGATTCATTATTTTACCATTGTCAGTGATTTAGTAAAGTAAAGCATGTCTAAAGAAAAATTTATTTAAATTTAAAAAAAAAAGAAATATATAAATGAAATCAGTTATTTTAAATAATGTTTCTCTTTTTCAGATGGACAAAAATATTTAAAATAAGATTTTCTAATCTTCTAAAAAACATAAGAACCTGTTAGAAATTTGTCTGTAGACTGTAGAGATTTGACTGACAATTTTACGTAGCATTTAACTTAGACATAATTGAAATGGATTATACAAAAATAAATGATCATATTCAGAAACATGTAGTTAGGGCCATCCATTATTTGTCAATTCCAATCACTCTAACCCTAAATGTAATACGGTAGAGTAATTTTAAAAGTTTTCACCTCCATTTGAATAGTGAAGAATTTATTGCACTTCAAACGACAAAAGGAACAATACTGTTATAATAAGACATTCATAAAACGTTAGTACAAACAAAATTTATATTTCATAAAAAGTTATAGTAAAATTAACAGACTTCATTAATGTGCTAGATAGCCATTATTTTATTCTTGCAGCATCAGTGGAAGAAGGTTTAAAGCATGAACATTAATTTATATTCAGAACATTAAGTAGCACATCAATCAACAATGAATAAGATGCAAAAGGAAAAGGGCAGCAAAGGGGAAAGAGTTAAAATCTAAATTATGTTTTAACATACATGAGTACCATGAATAAAAAAAACAACCAATGTTTCATGTGGGCTTAACATTGAAAAGGAAAAAAGAATTATATTGCTTGTGAATATTGAAATAAATCACTGACAGATATGATTAATTAATAAAACTTAAAAATAAATCACAAGTTATGTGGTTATAGACAAAATGATAAGTTATATTTGGATAAGGAATATCAAAAAGGCACAGCCAGCTGCAGGGTATTTTTTGTATCCCAAGCACCACAAGATAACAATATGAAGTTATCAGGACACAGCCACCATCAAGCAAAAAGGTTGATCTTCAGTTAGTAGATTGAGCAATGTTTTTTGGCTTTCAGGAAATTACATTTATCTCTAGCAGATCATAAGCATCTGTGAAGATAAATTTTCAGTTATAATTATAAAAAATGTTGAAAACCTAAATAAAATATGAGTAGTGTTACAATTTTCAAGAATACGGAGAGAGCATTGTTGCATGCAAGTACAAAACAATACAAAATAACAAAAATTTGCAACACATATACTATGATATTAATGATATATCCCATGATAAAATTAATTAAATTTTCCTGCAAGAAGTGAATAAGTAGGCTTTCAAATAGCTCCTGTGCAATTTTTCTTTGCTTTTTACTTTTAAAATTATCTTACTGAAGCAAAATAAAAGAAATTGCTTGAAAAATTACTCTGAAATCTATTCTTAAAAAGAGATATTAAAAATGGAATAAAAGAAAATTCCAGATCCACACTCACACACACACGTCAAGTTAAGAGCTGATTCACCGGCTGCAACATTTTTTCTTTTTGGGATTATCTGTTAGTTTCAGGCCTTCTTCTAATTTCTTGTCCTCTTTTTCTTGCAATGTTCTGAAAACAGAAAAATGAAAAGGAAGCAAACCAGTTTTTAAAAAAAAAGCATGAACCATAACTTATAGAGACATTTCTTCTTTTGCAAAAAAAACTGGTGTCCATTTTTTATGATTGAGACTTTAATTTAAATCTGAACTTAGCTTATTTGACACAAAAATTAAAGTTTATTATAAGCAAGCAAGGAAAACCAGCTTGAAAATAGTATTACAGACTTAATTTTTACCTAGTAAATTCTTCCATTGCCTCTTTTATATTGGCTCCAGATTTGGCACTTGTTTCATAAAACAGCATATCAGAATCCTTGCATATAACAAAGAAAATAATACTATTTCTTAATGATTATTTCTTGTCAAAACTTTAATACTAAGGGATACATCATATAGTGCATGCACTGAAATCAATAAATGTTCAGGCTAAAAGTTTCTTTACAGAATGTATCAAGTTATGAAGATTTTTTGGTCTAAGACTGACTTTGTTATAAACATTCAATTGAAATAAAGTTTGTGGCTGATGTTGTGTATACAAGCCCTTTTATATGATAAGGTAAAAAATGTTTTCATAAAACTGATTGAAATTAATGGAGAATTTAAATAATATTTAACTGTTAGGAATTGTTTTTCTTAACAGTGTTTTGGTTGTTTGTAATCAAGATATCATCATACCCCAGTGTCAACCCAAGTGGGGGTGTTTGTGTATGTAGTTCAAAAGGGGGTGAACCAACATTTTGAAGCCAAAAAATCAAATCCAAGATATTTTGATTTCACTTACTGTTGCTAAAAGTCTGCCATCCTTTTCCTTGACTGGCCTATTAGCATCATCTTCTGCCATGTCCAGTTTGTTTCCTAACAACATTATCACTGTCCCAGGTTCTACTTGTTCCTGGAAAGACGAAGATAATGTCAACAATGTTAGTGGAATGTTTTCAGTCCATATTTGGATTGTAATGACACAAATCTAATTAAATCACACACACAAACACAAATAATTAGAATATATAAGAAAACACACTCTACTAAACCTATTCGTGGGTGTTTAAATTTGGAATAGAAGATAAATTTGCCATGTTCATGCAACTAAAGCTATGGTTACATTATTAAAAACCAAAACCATTTCCTGTTGTTCAACTATTAAACAAAGAGAATGTAGGATGGTGTAAAAATGGATCTTTGCAGCATTTTTATAAATTAAATTAAAAAGTTTAGTCTTAAAGGTAAGTTCTGAGTTTAAAAATGTAAAAAAG